AGATTTGATCCTCTTTACTTTCATTATGATTGTTAAGGCCTAAAAACAACATAATACAATACTAAAGCATAAAACATAGAAAAATGAAAGAAAAGTAAACAAAACATGATGAAATTACAAAGAAGAACTACTAATTAAAGTGATACAAAATCCACTTATCAAACTCCCCCAAGCTTAGATCGTTGCTTGTTTTCAAGCAACATAGCTTGCAAAGCTGGTTTTTGGGTCAAGCAAAACATTGAATGAAAGAGCTCATGAAAAATGAAATGCATCGGTACTCATACGTGAGTTTTTGTTCAAAAAGGCTAAGGACTAGTTCTTCCGGTACTCATCCGACTCTAAGAGTTTTTACAAGAACACAAACCGTAGTGAGACTATGGACCTAAGCTTCCCTACTTTGATACCTCTCTAACTATGCTTTTTACTTAAGTATCAACAACGATTTTCCTCCCTTTTCATCCAGACAATCAAATTAAGGCAATAGGACTTATGATAATCATCACATGCATAAGGTTGATCAAGAATTTGTAACATTTACTATCTTTTCCCACCTATGAAATTTTCAAAAAATTTTCAAGTTTGTATATTGTCCTTTATTTAGGATGAAGTTTGGGGTTCAATCACCGTTGGGCCAGATAACCAGGCGAGGGTTACCGACTTAGAGGGCCGATTTTCTTTTATCGTCTTTTCATCTTTTTTACAATTTTTGTTTCTCAGTCAATCATACATAATCTAAATTATGCCAGACTGTTGAGATAAACTAATCAGGGAGTACTTCTCAGGATCCATGTACTATGGTACAAAGCTACTAGTTAGACTCGTAACTCTTTTGGGGAAACTTAGGGTGTTCAAGCAAAACCCCTTTTTATCAAATTTTTTTGGTTTTCCTAACCTCAAAGTTTCATCCCTCTAACTCTATATACTTTTCCAGCCTTCCTTATAATCAAAGGTCTTTTGAATTTTTTTTATTTTGGTCAAGATTTGGGAAATAGTAAAAAGTTGTATTTTGAAAATAAAATAAAAAATAAACAGACAAAGATGAAATAAGAAAAGTAGAAGCAAAGTAAAAGGAACCCCTCAAACTTAAGCTAAATATTTCCCTCAATATTTTGTCACAAGCGAGGCATGGTAGAACTCACAAGGTTCTCACTTGGAAGGTGTAAAGTGGTCCTTCGAATTTTTCAACTTCATCACCTTTTCATGCTCCTCCTTTGCGAGCCCTTTTTTATTAGCTGAAAACAAAAACACAAAAACAAGAAAAATAAATTAGCAACAAAAGTGTGGGTTGCCTCCCATGTAGCACTTCATTTAACATCGCGTGACTTGATGGTTCATGATTGTAAGCATCCACGGTGGTTCTTTCGAGAATGATTCCTCGGCCAAACTCTCAATAATAGCTGATTTCCATGGCGACTTATCAAGCCATCTTTCATATCCCTCTCCCTTCTTTTTCTTCTTCATATGGGGTAGTTCGTATTTTGAAACATGTGGGGGTGGTTCTGGTTCTATCCTATGTATCAACTTTTCGGATTTAGATTTAATCATTTCACCCCCCACTTCAAAGGTCAATATTCCCCTCTTAACATCAATAATTTCCTAAATTTTATGGTCTTCTAATTTTCTCTTTTTAGGTAGTGTAGCGACAAAAATGTTAAGACTAAGCCATTGGATTGGACTTATCTCGCAAAAATCAATGAAGTCACCACCATACTTTTATTTTATCCAAAGAACTAGGAAAAGAGCTAATAAAACCTAAAGTAAAATAAGAGATCAAGGTACGGGGGTTGATTATGCAAAGGGAAGATATTAGCATCCTAAACATCTAAGGTACTCTACATGAACCTCTTTGAAAATCTATGTATTTTGGCTATAAAGAAGTATATACAAAATAAGATGGTGGAGATGAGAAAAGGAGTATTTTTTTCTTCAATTTTTGCACCCATCGCGATTTCGAACCTTTTGTGCCTACGTACCACCTTTCGTGCAATAGGGGATCAGGTCACTCGTAGTTCTCCTTAAAAAATTTGAAAAGTTTTGTGTGTTGGTTAATTTTAAGAAGAAGAGACATATCGTCATATCCGAGTAGAAAACATACTTACTATCCACAATTATGAGAAAAGGAGAATTAACATCCTCTCAAAGTGGAGAACATCACTTGGATTTTAAAATCCACAAGACATCACTCAACACCCAAGTGGTAAATAGCTCACTTCACTACATATTGTAGAAGTATAGTAGCTTGCATCACTACAAGATCAACAAAAGTCCAATCTTTTGAGAAAAAGTTTTAAAGTAAAAAGTCAAAGCGGAAAAATGATTTGAATGAGGTTAATGAATTTTAGTCTTCTAAAAAAATGTCAAAGTATGATTAAATTGATTAAGAGTTTAATTAAGATTTTTTTTTTTTGAAAATGAATTGACCAAAGCCCAAGTTTATTATGAAAGGAGTTCAAGTTTGAAAAACAAAAAGGGTTTTGAAAAAAATGTTTTAAAATTAAAGAAAATGGGAGGAGACGAATAGGCTATCCTATACACACAAAATAAAAGCTAAGGTAAGAGACGATCTAACCAACAAGAAGCCAACACTTGACATAAAGAAGTCAATGTAGAATTCCTATCCTTCGTATTGAAAACCGAGCAAGAATAATAAAACCAAACCTCAGATGAAATAAGCCTCAGATGAACTTGTGCCTCAGATAAAAATAAGCCTTAGATGAACTTGCGTCTCAGATAAAAAATAAGAATCAAGCAAACTCTTCAAAAAAAATTGGGTAGAGTAACGGCTGTATACAGAGGAATTTCCAATCACAGATAAAGCATAGAAATTAGAATAACTTGCACACAGAGAAAATTCAACCCAATGCCTCGGAGTTTCAGACAGAATAACAACAGGGCCACAAGGTCTCCAAATACCAAAGCTTTTAATCCTAAGTCCGAGAGATCCATAATTCTAACACGTCAGGGATAGTAACCAAAAGTCCATGATGAGTCTTAATTTTCTTATTAACAAACTAAACACCAAGATAAAGGTCCGAATGGACAAAGGAAAAGTACGTAAATATAAACATACGTCCAAGTGGACAGAGAGAAAAATGTGAAATCATAAACATGTATATGAAATGAATGCTAAAATTAAATGACATAAAGTAAATGCAGTAAATAAATTACGTAAATTAAAGTTGCATAAAGTAAAGTCAATGGTCAGTGTTAGTAATTGAGACTCATGTTAAGTAGTCGTAAGTGGACTTATGTAAAAGTCGCACCTATCAGAGGCCGGTCTATAAAAATATATGTACCATACATGCTAGAGATATGGTAGAAATCACACTCCTAAAACATGTAGCATAAGTAAAACCAAAGGCGATCAAGACCTAAGTCGTGGAAGATAGTTTTACAACCATCCATAAGCTTGAACTCAAAGTTCATATGTCTTATACAAATTGATCAAAAAGAAGCAATAAAAGAAAAAGGGATGAAGAAGAGATTAACTCCATGGTAAACAATCAATGATGATTAAAGATTGAACTTAAGCCAATGTTAATGAAGACTTATTAGAGGATTGATAAGACCAAAGCTTCTTAACAATAAGTTTCAAGATTTTTGAGCAAAAAGTTCAATAATCAATCATCCTTGAACTTTCAAACATAAATTTTGAGTCACTAATTATCACTCGTAAAAAGAAACCAACATCTCAACAAAAAAATCAGAACTAATTTAAAGTATATACAAGCAAAATCAAAATTAAAGTTGATTTTCAAATGATTAAATAGATGAATATCATAAGTGGTATATAAACATCAATAAAAAATCTCATAAAATCAATACAAATAAGAAATAAATATTAAAGTACTCAAATTTTTGTTGTTATAATTTTTAAATGTACAAAAGTATTTTTAACTAATTACAAACACTTAAATAAGTGGAAAAAAAATAAATATCAAAAACTAAAATAAAATTCTGAAAAATTTACACAAGGTCATAAATAAAATAAAGGAATTGTGTTAATTTTTTCGGATAAAAATTGAATTTAAAATAAAAAATTTTAAAGTAAAAATTGATTAAAAGAAAAGAAATTAAAACAGAATGAATCTTAGCCCTCTGATATGGTCAATTTTAATGCAGTAATGACATCAAATAGTTCATATTAAAGGTACACAATAAATACAATATGTAAATGTATAGAGAATTAAAATTTATCATCTTCTGATGTGATGACAAGTGGCTCCGATGACCACTTGTCATCACATAAACCGCCAGAGCAGATCTCGAGACAGGGAGAAAGAAAGTCATCAGGTGAAGTAGAGGTGGACGGCGGTCGGTTATGAGTGGATTCGGGTCCAAAATAACAAACCCGAACTAACCCACAATTGAAAAAATTAGACTCAATTTCACCCAAAACTTAGTTCGGTTTTATCGATTGACGGTTTATCAGTTTAAGCGGTTTATATGGTTGAATTCAATCGGTTTGAATTCCCATTGGATCAAATTTTTTACCAATGAATTCTAACCCAAATTCTCGTTTCATAATTATAGAAAATGTAACAAGTAGAAAATTACTATCTCATGAAACACTCATTCCTATGAAACTTCATTCATATTCATTATTATTAATTTCTACAGAAGTGAACTAAGAAACCATACATATCTTAGCATGATTTCATCATCATCTAATTCATAAACTATTATCCTTATTACATTCCATAAAAAGAACTATTATCTTAGATGGGCACAGACTACTCTCCAACTTCAATTCTGTCTATACTTCCTCCAACTGAATTCCTGCAAAAGTTTGCAAGGCATGTTAAGGTTCTAAACTTCTAAAGTAAAGCGAAAGAAATAAAATGATACATACACCTTGCAAACTCCTAGCTTCCATGTAAAATTGTATAATCAACACAACATCCATCTTCAAAAGCATATGCTTCAAACATTGTAGAGGCCAGAACTTTCAGCCTTGATGCAATTTCTGTGATAGGCTTGGTTTGAAGGTAATAATGCCCCTAGGAATGTTGTGACATTGTGACACCCCCAATTGGATCATCATTCAAAAAATGATAACACATGATTATCGTCAATAGATTGTCACTAAAACAAAACAAAAATCAACAAAAAATCAGGAAGGATTATCAACTCTGTAACAACAAAACAAACTACAATAAGTAGAGCATTTGGACTCACTCAAGAACATGTCGAAAAAAGAGTTTGCTTGAAAGCTTCCGAGCAAATTCAACAGCCTAAATACCACCAGACAATAATTAGAATGAAGTCAATGTCCTTGTGAGCTAAAAATTGCACTGAATGAATCTATGGGATATTTAGTGGATGATTTAATCTATGGGATATTTAGTGGATGATTTATTTGATAATGTCATTGAAAGTATAGTGAGGCATAATTCCTATGCAATAGATGGTTATATATGATAATGTGAGGATTTAGTTATGGTATTTTTATGAACATTATACCCGCGGTCGAGACTCTGAGACAAGCTTACCTTCAGGCATTTTCAAATATTGGTCAATTTACTCAAAAACTAAGAGTGTGTTTGTTTCATGATTGAAAATTTTATTTCTTGAAATGATATTCCTAGGATTATTATTTTTGGGAATATTATTCCAATCCATGTGTTTTGATAAGAATTTAGGTTCCTAAGAATAATTATAAAATTTGTTTAATTTTAAATTATAAAAAAATAAAAAATAATAGTAAATAGGAGTGACAGTGGGAAGTTAGAGTTAGTTGAATTTGTTCTCATGAGAATGTTTTATTCCCACCCCTTATACCTTGTAATAAGAATAGAGAATTCATGAGTAAATAATATTTGGAATAAAAAATTCTTTGAAATGATTTTTTAAAACTTGAATCAAACATGGAAATATTACATTCTCATTGTCACATTCCGAAAAATAATTTTTGTAACCTTGAAACAAACACACTCCAAATGAAACAAACAGAATAAAACACAAATATTAAAACTAGAATTAAACTAAAACAGAGTTAAACACAAATATTAAAAAAAAGCAAAAGATACAAACTTTAGTCGAAAGGACCACCACCTTGCACTTCTAGTTGAACTTAGAGTAGTAGTTGGAACTTCAACTTAGCTGATGAATGTGTAGGTGAAATGCCAACAGTTAGAACTTCTTTGACTCATAGACACCATAACCACCACAGTAAGTCTAAATAACTGTACAATTTGAGCTTCAACAAACAAAATAGAAGTTAGAAATCCATAAACTAAATTACCTAAAAGAAAAACCTTAAAACAAGACCCAAACAAACCCAATCATTCTCTATGATATATAAATCCAACATTACTAAAAAGAAAAACCTTAATTTAAACAAAAACATTTAAACATTAAACACAATATATAAATAAAACCTTACCATGATTGCTTGGTAGTTGCTTCTTTAGTTCTTGATGAAGAGTCTCTAAGTAGTGGGTTTCCACTAACTAATAGATGTTAAAAATAGAGTATAATGTCAGAAAATGAATATTGTAAACTCAAAAACAGAACAAGCACTCACATACCTCATTACCCTTTCTACCATGATTGAATGCTTATAACAACCTCCAAACAACTGTCAAGAGCCCCACCAGAAACCCTCTGAGAAGGAAAATTAGAAGAAGAAGAAAAAATGGAGGTGGAGGATATTTTCGGCGAAGAATTTCGGCGAGAGCAAGGGAGGTCTGGCGACCGAGAGTTTTGGGTCAGGGGCGGAAGGAGGGTGGTTTCCGGCAAATGGAAGTAGATTCCGGCAAGTCAGTCAGAGCTCCGGACAGGTGAGTTGGGTATTTAATTTTTGTGGTTCTTTGTTCTGAGTTTCTGAATCTGTCAGTGAATGAATCAAAAGTCAGTCTCATTGAATGGTTATATAGTGTTGATTTTGGGGTTTTCTATGAACAAGGAATGGGATGAGATTAAAACTCTCTTTTGGGTTGAGATTGTATTGAAATAAGTTGTCAAAATTTGCTCTAAAAGAGGTTCACGAAAATCCCTTTGTTTGGTCCTAAATTTTCAGCTTTATTCTCAATATTTTTGTGTTGTTTTTGATGCCATTTCAAAATCTAAATGGGCCTGGAAAATAATAATTTGTTTATTGGCCTAATGACATGAACATGTTGCTAACTATTGTGAGTTTGCTGTTTCTTTTGGATCTTTGGACTGCACTTTTATGATTTTTCCTTATTATTAGAGTTGCTGGATATTTTGAATGAATATTAACTCTTTCTTGCCATTTTTCCTTTTCATGTGATGCCAAAATGGTTGAGAAGCCTAGTACCATGATGGTTGGTAATGAGGCTTAATGCACAGTGGATGATGATGGTGAGATAATGAAGTTGAAATGGCTTGAATATCACAGAGAACAAGTATGAGGCAAGCTACTCAACTTGAGGATGGAGCAGAAATCAAAGCCAGTGCATTGTCTAGACTTAGGAAATCTCATAGAATAAGAACAAACTCTTGTGTAAACCTTGAATTTGGTGAAATTGATCTCTTTGGCATCTTTGTAATATGCGTTCTTTGTAGCTTGAAATTGATCCAATGGATTCATGTAATATTAGTGAAACCTTGTAACATGTAAAACTTGATGAACTATGTCTTGTAATTTCTTGAGTGATTACTAAGCTTTGAACATTGCCTTGAAAATTGAATGAAGTGGAACTTTGAAACCTTGAGGGATGTAGAAATTGAGCTTGAAATATATTTGAAGGATCTTGGATAAAAGGTTTGAAATTTGAATGATAGAAAGTAGATGAAGTTTGAATTTGAAATGATAAGTTTTGTGAGAATTTATTTGACATTTCAATTCTTGATGAATGAAGATAAAGAATGAATAAGTGAAGTTGTCTTGAAATTCAAAGAAAAGAATTTTGCCTTAAACGGTGCTTGAAGTTTTGAACCATTTCTCTTGATAAACTCATGACATTAGGAAATTGAATTCATGAATGAAAAATGCTTGAGATTTTTTATGAAAGTCCTAAACTTCAAGAAACATGAAGTCTCCAAATTTGCACTTGAATCACTTAGATTTGGACTTGAAATTTTAACCATGAAAGTGTTTGATAATGAATCTAAAGAAATTGATTTCGAATTAGGCTTGAGAATGCTTGGAAGGTCGAATAATCATGCCTTAAACAAAAGGAACTTTGAATAAAAAATCCAACTTCAATTCACAAGTAACAAACAATCAATGGATTTGTAATTTAAATGGTCAAGGTATTTCTAATCCAAAGAAAATGACCTATAAAGTTTCAACAAATTCCACGACCTTCTAAACACAATTTAACTTCAACCCTTGAAGCAAATTTATAGATAACGCCATTTGTGATATGTTGCAAAAAGAATCGTCCCAAAACGACGAAAATTGAAAGAGTTATGATCCTCAGAAGTTGGACAAAAGTCACTTGAAAATAAGTCAAAGTCCACAAAGAGACCTCTAATGTACTCAAACTTTTGATGGTCTTCTACACATAATCAACTCTTGACTTGTAAAGAGAAGTTGAAGATGATGTCAGGGAGATTCATATGCTCGAAGAATCACTCAAAAATATTGAATAATGAGGAAGTTATGATCGTTTGAACTCAAACTTACAAATGTTGACTTTTCGTCAAATCAACTCTGAATCAACTCGCGAACTTGATCGTTCTCCACAACCTAAGACACCTTTAATCACACATGAACTTGAGATGATCAAATTCTGATTAAACCAAGTTCACACTTATCAGAACTTGAGCTTACTTGTCGAAGAAGGCATGGAAATAAACACATGAACCTATCTCGAAGAATCTTGAGAATTAAGCAAGCGAACTCGCCTTAACCAAGCCGAATGAAGCTTCAATATAGTGTGACCTAAGATTATAAATCACAACTTTGAAAAATAGGCCTTTAAGAATATGTCTTTGTCCTGAACAAACCACAACCCTAATCGAAAAACCATCACCTGAATTTCTCGACCGGAAACCCTATCTTCTGAAATGAATAAAATAAACCAGGCATATTTTTTGATTTTTGGTTAGAAGTCAATAAAAAAGTATAATACACACACATACAATGATACACAAATATGGTGCTTGATGCATTGTGATAATATGAGATGACCAAGGTTCTTAAGGGTAAAAATTGAGGTATAACAGGTAGGACCTCGGGTAATTGTACATTGGTATGGATCTTTTCCAATATATTCACATACTTTTTAGATTGGGTGCCTACCTCAGGTTCCACATATCTTTGTGGGAAAGGAAATTGTGGGTTGTAGGGAAAAGTAACAACATATGGTGCTTCCTTCTCTACCTATTTGATAACTTCCTTTTCGGGTGGTATTGGTGGATTTTCCTCGATCTCTACATTTTTCTTACCAGCACTTTCCTCAACCTCTGTATCATTCTCCCTAGGATTTTCAACATGTTTTTCACATCTGGTTTTTATGGCATTCACATTCTCCTCAAGGGGTGGTCCAAGAGTGGTGTGTGCAAGTTGGGAGATTTTGGTCTCCAATGTATTGTTTTGAGTCGTGAGGGACCCAACCACTGTATTTAACTGTCTAAGGGTTTCAACAATATGGAGATTCTGCTTTCTAAACTCTTCATTCTGAAGAGTTTGTGTCGTCACAAAGCTCTCCATCATATATTTCAGGTTAGAGCGAACTTGCGCCGCAATGAAATCCTCCATTAACATTTCGAGGTTGGATTATTGGCAATCTTGTTGTTCCACTAGTGCAGGAAAGACATTTTACATTGAGCGAAAAGCATATTTTACATCGGGCATGGGTCTGAGGTAAAGTCAAGCGATATAGTAAATCAAAGACATTTTACATCGGATGTGAAAAACACACCTACCACATCAGTTGCGTGTTAAGTCTAATGGAAAAATAATACTTTATTTATTTTTTAAATAAATGCAATTTTTAACATCGATGGCTTTAATGGGCTGATGTAAAAGATGCGTTTTCATATTTGTGACCGTAATGGCCCAATGTAAAATGTTTGTTTTTTTCGTAAAAGAATTGACTATTTTTTAGCGGATTCCGTATAATTTTTTTTTTGTACATAATTTTTCATATTTTTTCAACATCACACAAACCATATTTAGGTCGTTATTTTCAATTTTTTTTCTAACCAACCTAATTTGATTCCACCAAATAGCTAGGATGCGCGCGCGCGCGCGCACATATATATATATATATATATATATATATATATATATATATATATATATATATATATATATATATATATATATATATATATATATATATATATATATATATATATATATATATATATATATATATATATATATATATATATATATATATATATATATATATATATATATATATATATATATATATATATATATATATATATATATATATATATATATGTGCGCGCGCGCGCGCGCATCCTAGCTATTTGGTGGAATCAAATTAGGTTGGTTAGAAAAAAAATTGAAAATAACGACCTAAATATGGTTTGTGTGATGTTGAAAAAATATGAAAAATTATGTACAAAAAAAAAAAATTATACGGAATCCGCTAAAAAATAGTCAATTCTTTTACGAAAAAAACAAACATTTATATATATATTCTTCAAAATAAATAATTGATTTACAAAAGTAATAATCTAGGATACACACAAGTGTACAAAATTATAAGGAAGTTTACACGGTGGACTACAACAACAAAATATATAAAAATGTCCAACCATTTATAAGTCATATACCACACTTGAATTACCAATATGAAATCCACAAGTAGATTAGTTGTACCTTCGGTAGACAATATCAAAATCACATTGACTGACAATAAATAATAACACCAATTAATATCAACAGACAACACAAAAATCAAGAAGCTCAAATTATATATATATATATATATATATATATATATATATATATATTGATCGTACCTGATTAGAATTGAACCGTCACAGCTGATTTTAGGCTAGATTTGAAGGAGATGAAGATACCTACAAAATACTCTGATGGCAAATGATGAATAACTCTTTCATTCTCATGATCTAATAGTAGAGGAAAAGCAATTTCCCTTAACCTTATACCCAAAAGTCTCTATAAATATTTCATCATAATATATCACAATTTACCTAACATAATACTTATATACAAAATTTCTCTCATATCTCCGTAAACATTATAAATATCACTAAATAAAGTTTATTACCATCGTGAGCCTACCCTAACCACTCATATTTACTAAGATCTAGGAATATCCCATCCAAGTGAGGTAACTCACATGGACTTTTATGGAGTTTTTTGACAAGTAGATTTTGATTTTTCTTTTTATATTTTTAAAAGACCAGTTTTTCATTTTTCCATTTTAAAAACCTTTTTTACCTTGCATTTTATTTGCTAGTATATTCTCTAGCAATCCTAGTTCCAAATCATAAATTGCAATTTTCACTTATCCCTACCGCAACAGGGAACCCAAAACCCAAACTCTCATTCCGCCACAGACCACTCTCAACTATCTTCAATTCCCCCAAAATTTTCAAACCTCCTTCGCTTCCTCATCTCACAACCACCACCAATTTCTCAGTTTCGTCGATTTTCGGTTTTCATACCTTCGAAATGGAGAATCTTAACTTAGCCCTTGTTTCTTCCCCTAAACCTCTGCTTCTGGGACATTCCTCCTCAAAAAACGTTTTCACAAGAAGAAAGCCTTTCGCTTTTGGGACTTTTCGCGTTTCTGCTAACTCTTCATCCTCTCATGTCACCGGGGCTGCTTCTAAATCTCACCAAAATCTAAAATCTGGTATTTTTTTAATCTTATGAATATGATTTTTGCTTACCAGAAATAGGGTTATTAGGTTATGATGTACTTGAATGAAATGTATGTAATTATATCGAAATTGAAGTCGAATCGACATAGTTATAATGAAAAATTCCATGCAAATTGAATGTATTTCAATGTTTTGCACTCATGTCTGAAGAGGCATTCATAAGTAATACATGCTCGGAATTCAGTGCAGGGGAAGGTCACTGTGCATACTTTTGCTAGCATTTCTTCTTCAAATAGTCAGGAAACAACATCAGTTGGAGTTAGCCCCCAGTTATCGCCGCCTCCACCTTCGAATGTGTAATCATACTATTCTTTCTTTCACATTTTGAATTTCCTGTAGATGTTTTATACCATGTCATATGATTGCCATTTGTCAAACTACTTGTTTGGAAGGGAGATTATTTTATATATATATATTTATTTGATGTTGTTTATCAATTTCGCTTATATATTCTAATTTGGATTTATTTGTTCACAATGTTTGTAGAGGGTCGCCACTCTTTTGGATTGGTGTTGGTGTTGGGTTTTCTGCACTATTTTCAGTGGTGAGAACCATAGTCAAAACTCAGTTTTATATATACTGATGTTTATTTTTCTTCATTTTTATTTATGTTCAATATATTAAGGTCCATTTCTTTTTGGCAGGTAGCTTCAAGATTAAAGGTGAGTTCCACTTTACTGCGTAGCTTGGGTTTAAACTGGTCTGTCATTTGAGTTCTATGGTAAGATATTGGGAGCATATCAAGTCAGATGAATGATTTATTGGCCGAGGGAAAGGAACAAGTCTTTTCACCTTCAAATTTTACACGAAGTTGCAACAAATGTTTTTTGTCAAACCTTATCTTTTGTAGTTTCTTTGTAGAACTGGCAACAACTAACCTTGTAACTCTTTGGTACCCTTTTCATACAATTTCAACATTTGTGTTTTAATCTTTTTTCAGAAATATGCAATGCAACAAGCTTTAAACACCATGATGGGCCAGATGAATACACAAAATAATAATCCATTTGACAGTGGTGCCTTTTCGCCTGGATCTCCCTTCCCCTTTCCCATGCCTTCAGCTTCAGGGCCCGCTACACCTGCTGGCTTTGCTGGTAATCAATCTCAAGCAACTTCTGCACGAACTGCCTCTCAATCTACTGTCACAGTAGACATACCTTCAACCAAAGTAGAAGCAGCAGCCTCGGCCCCAGACATTAATGTTAAAGAAGAAGTGGAAGTAAAGAATGAACCAAAAAAATCCGGTAACATACAATCTCTGTTCATGACTCCCATTCTTCTTCTTGTTGGATGACATGTACTACATTTGCAATTTATAAGTAGTGTGATTCCGTGTCCACTATCAGATGTATATGTGGCTCTAAGAATTTAAGTAAAAGCTGTACCCAAATCACTGTTGTCGATTGGTTCATCCTACCATAGGACGCATTACTAGTCTTTCCATGTATACTATCTTGCAGCTTTCTTTTTGTTATAAACTTATAATAGCTTGAGTGAGCCTATGCCACAGCATTATTTTTAAGCTTTGCTTGCATGCAAGTATCCTTTGACAAACTTGATAGTGCTCCCTAAATAGACATCAGCTGTTTTAGTTTTCCGTTGAATGCGTCACTAACTAATGTCTAATTGTCAGGTGAATGTCTTTGAATTTATGTCTGTATCATTTGGGATTATTCATTAGTGTGTGCATACCTATTATTTTCTCAACCTTGCTTGCATGCTATCATGTTAGTTAATGGCTCTACAGTTTCTTAAGTCGCTTGTAATGGAAACATACTGCTTTGAATTATAACAAATTGTGAAGTGTGTCCATATTAATTTGCTGGAATTAAAATTTTCCTGATAAATATTTATTTATTGCAGCTTTTGTAGATGTGTCTCCAGAAGAAACTGTGCAAAAGAATGCTTTTGAAAGATTTAAAGATGTTGATGAATCAAGTTCATTCAAGGAAGCCCGTGCTCTAGCTGAAGTGAGTTTACAATTCTAGTTTTTTCTAAATATGTTTAGTGATTTGTCTTACCCTTAACATGTAATAACAATGGATATTATTGAAGGCTTCTCAAAATGGAGCTCCTTTTAACCAAGGTTTTGGCAATTCACCCGGTTCTCTATCTGCACGTAAGTAAGGAGTCAGTTGAAATTGAAAATATTTACATATCTGTTTTGTTGCTGAAACCCTGTGTAGTGTAATACATCTATTCAAGTGATTTCAAGGAAATATAATGGCACAATGTAGACCGGGCCTGTTAAATAGATGACTGTTCATGTTATTATAGTCGTGTATATTGATTTAATATATCTGTCATCGTTGATTTTACGTAGGATTATGTAAACTTACCATTGTCCTTGTACTTTTGATGATTTGATCTTCTATATAAAAGCCTTTCTTGTCAATATCATTTACTTTTGACCCTGTGGTAGGATCTAAGTTGGGAGAATTCTCTCTATTCTATCATATTTCTTAATAAAAAAAGTGTTCTTTCTTTGGAACTCAATTCTTGGGTTTCTAACACATTGCATACTGATTTCCAGTCCCTGGGTTAAAACAGCGTCATAAGTCACACATGAGTAATTACTAGTCGCATTGTTTTCTTCTCAGATTGACATTATAGGCTGCAATCAATTTATACCTTTTTTTTTTTATCATATAACACATTGTGTTTGTAATATTTGTTCTTTTAAAGTTGTCATAAATGAGCTTCTGTGCCTGTATGAATTAACCAAATGTTCTTAATGACCTTGTTTTTTTTTGTATAGAAAAATCAGTCTTATCGGTGGATGCTTTAGAGAAAATGATGGAGGACCCAACAGTGCAGAAGATGGTTTATCCGTAATATTAGCTCCTTTTATCTTTTAATAAATGATTATTTTCCATTTCTAGTGAGCACAGATAAGTTTTAAACTTCAAGTAAATCCTATTTTTTGGATATATAAAAAAAGGTTACATAAATTGCTTAAGCGTGTTGTTCTGTCTAATCTTAGAAATGCGTATGACAGTAGTACCAAGTATCAACAGTACCTATAATACTCTACATTGGACTTAGAAGTAGTTCCATTCTGTATTTTTATATTGAACTACTTCGGAAGTTGTGACGTGTCTTAAGATCTACCAGAGCCTTTTATTGTTTATTTCCCACATTCTATTGATAGTTTTTGCATCCGAAGTTTTCCGCAAAAACCAGTGCTTCTGTTTAAATTCTTCCCTTTCCAATTAACCTCATTTATCTCCAAAAGACCGTGTATTAGGTTTCCTACTGCTCTTTGAATTGCTTACAATTGAGTGGAACTTGTTGGTTCTCCCCTCTATTCCTATATTCTCAAAATGAACGAACAGATTTCCGATGCGTTTTGCGTCACGGCCCCTTGATAAAAATTTATATGTTTGCATGCTTGTTTAATGTTTATATTATTCAATTTGTTTTCCTTTTTATTCAAAAGAAGGCTCATAATTTGTGGGCACTGTTGCAGCTATTTACCTGAGGAGATGAGGAAGCCTTCTACCTTCAAATGTAATTCTCTTAACAGTTTTCTTGCTTCTGGTTCTATGCAATGTCAATCAATGTTATTAAGATTGATTATAATGTGGGCACCATGATTTTCTTAGTTTAGTGCCTTCATTGAAATAACTAACACAAAACCACATTCGAGCATATACTCATTGTTACTTACATATACAATACTTCCTATATACGACACATTTATATGGGTGTCTTTTCATCATTATTACTAGTACCATGTATTATAATGGAAGCACTATTTATGTTGGTTAAATTAAGTCTGCTGATCAAAACTCAAAATCATGTTTGTCACTTTCAACTGCTAGATGATAATTTCTACATGACATGTTAATAAATTTGGCCGATGGATAGTTGATGTACTGTTGCTGCTTTTGGCAGGGATGCTGCAGAATCCTGAGTACCGTCAACGACTTGAAGAAATGCTGTAAGTTCTTTATATTGTACGAGTATCTTCCAAGCCTTTTTTTGTCCACCGATATTTTCATGCTCCATGGATCTAGGTGATTTTATTTGTAAACATAAAGGTTTGTTTGCTTTTAAGAAACATTTTCTGTATTCACTCTTAATTACAAAAATGTTGTCTTGTCTTACCTCTGTTTTCTATTTTCAAAGTTTCTTATAGGAAGCAATGAAAACAATAGAATTTTCACTGTTTCATATGCAAACCTTTGAAAACACAAAATTAAGTGAAAAGGTGGTGCTTTGGTTTGGTAAATGAAATAAAATAAAAAGGCCCTAAGCTTTTGGTGAAGTGCTTACTTACATTGCTTTGTCTGACGATTATACAAAAACTAGTTTTCTGGTGAACGGAAACATTCACTAAGGAAAGTTAGTTTTCCTCTTTCTGAAGTCATCATTTCTTTCATTTGTCAGTGAAGTACAAGTGGCTATTAGCCCCCCATTCCGTTAAATCTATTAGTTAAGTCTGAGCAGTGTTGTCGATGGCGGTCCATGGCGGAGAGCCAAATCCCGCCATACCGGCCGCTCTGCGGCGCCATTGTAGCGGATTATGGCAAAAAAACCTGCAATATCGGCCGATACTTACCATTACGTCGAGCCTAAAAACCGCCATGTATATCCATCATAGCGCCCATGGCGCTGCTATTTGTTAACACTGAATCTGACTCCCTATTCTTTACCTAACAGAACCTAACATTTGGAATTAGGATAAATGCCAGTCCTGGAGGAAATTAAATGACCATTCTTCTGCTTTTGTACAATAACCTTCTGTTTGAGTTTACTTATGACTGGATTCATTGTCACTACGTTGATTTTAGACCTAAAGTTGCAGAGAAATGTAAATCTTATTTGTTATTTCTCACTAAAGTGTCATTCTATGTGCTGCAGTTATATAAATCAATGTATTTTCTAGTAATATATTGGTAAACTGTATTCTCTGGCCACTAGGGATTCACACATCCTTTCTTTTTCTCCTATATATTTGGTTTCAGAAACAACATGGGTGGAGGCACTGAATGGGACAGTCGGATGATGGACACCTTAAAGAATTTCGACCTTAATAGTCCTGCTGTTAAACAACAATTTGGTATGTCTCACATTTTACAAGAGATGTCTTTTTTGAGAGATGGATCAATTCTTTAATTCTTTCTACATTCTCCTTTCCTGTTTTCTAACATTTTATATTATCACTTTCATCAGATCAAATTGGGCTTTCTCCCGAAGAAGTCATTTCAAAGATTATGGCCAATCCTGATGTTGCGATGGCATTTCAAAATCCTAGAGTTCAAGCAGCTATCATGGATGTAAGTTCTACTTTAAGTACCACTTCATTAATATTTCATATCAAATCTCTGAGTGCTTCTTGTTTTGGTTGCAGTGTTCACAGAATCCAATGAGTATTGCTAAATATCAAAATGATAAGGAGGTATTATGATATACCTTCAATTTGTCTTTCTTGGAAGCATTTTTAGCCTCTTGTACATTGAATTTTACATTTCCGTCTTTCTCTTTACGTTTCAGGTCATGGATGTCTTCTATAAAATATCAGAACTCTTCCCTGGAGTTTCAGGCCCCCCTTGATTTCAATTTGTTTGTTGGTCAAGATAAAATATTTGCCAAGTTATTCACGCCTTTCCGGATGACTGATGAGGATTTGTATTAGCTAGCTGTGTCTCACCATAAGGAGTTTGTGCTCATGATTGTGTATACTGCAGGCTCATGGCTACAGCTCCAATGTGTGACATACAGATAATAATGATTGTGGCTTGGTCTAAATTGTTGCCATAGTTGAATTTTTGTGTTTGCTAAAATAGTTGAGATTGTATATTGGTATTTTAATTTTTTATTGCATCTGTAGTATGATTTTCTTTTCTACTTGTCATGAGTTCCTAGACTAGTCTTGGCTAATTTGAACTTCAGTTTTAAGGTACCTGAATAAATGAATGTAAACGCGTCACATAATCTTTCACAAGCTTATGCTGCATGAGTTTGAACTACTATGCTACAAGTGACAATAATCAAGGGTTATTCGTTGGACAATGATGATCGGAGTATTTTGGTTGACTCTAACTTTGAAGACATGTTCTTAGTGTTCAGATTGTCTGATTCAAACTTGTCCTATATGCCACAACCCCTTCCTTTCACTTTTGTATTTTTATTTTTTACTTCATTATGTCATTTTTCATATAAATTTGGTTGAATTTATCACATTTGTGAAGTTTCCAACTTCTTTTTCAGGTTTTTTAATTTGAAATGTGTTGGGTGCATGCAGTGCTGATTTGTGTAGGTTTTAGAAGTGTTTAATGCATGCTTTCAGGCGTTGTTCTCACATGTATTGATTTTATTTTGTTTTTGTCAAATGTTTGAAAGATAGATAGACCTGATTGGGTTAGGGGAACATGATCCCAACCACTGCTTCTGCTAGGCAGAAGCATCGTCCTAGGAAAATCCTCTGAGCCGCTACTAGAGGAGCTTGAGTTGCATGAGGCAGAGGTCACATGTCTGCTTAATGAGATATGCTTCTGCTTCGGATGGATCAGATGTGAATTTGTACTGATATCTTTTTGAGTGAGTCTTGCGCAAATTCTTGTACATGTAAACTATTACAAGCATTCATTCATCTCTTCTCAACCTTTGATAACTCGACAACAGGCTGACCAAAACTATGTTGACTATTTGGACTACATTTGTATTATGCACGGCTACTGAGGTGGGATGTTAGGTAGTGTTTTCGGATATCACATCATTACCTGCTCCCCACATATGAAGGAGAGCCTATAAAATCAATTGAGGAGGTAGCACTTGTAGAGGCAAGGCAATGATAGAAGAGAAGGGAAAACATGCAACTAATTTGACCCTTATATGCATCTGTACCCGAGACTGTGCACTTGAGGTACTGCCTAATAAGGCTTTAGAGTAGGAAACTCAAGTTCAAAATTTTGTGCAATAAATTCTTATGAAGGCTCAAAATGCCTTGCGGTACCAGTGGTTGAGGAGAATGGGTAGAATGCATGCGACATAGTAGGATGCACTAGATATTATATATTTTGTTGGGTATTTTGAAATTATGTATTTGTACATTATATTTGATATGGTATTTTTTATTATAATATTAGTTTGTGTTGTCGAGTTATTGTTAATTGGTAAAGTTTGTGTAAAACACAAATTCATATTGTATAATTCAAATGTGTAAAATACTTTAATTATACATACTTAAACATATCTAATAAAACTAAGTTTGTTCAAAACCTTTGAAATAATGTGTTTGTTTCAGTTCAGAGATTGTAGAATCTGAATGTGTAGTTAGATGTTTAGATCATAAAATTTAAACATATTCAACACAAAAGTTTATGATATGTGATATAGACCATACTGGTAACTTGTGTGGTCTTTAATGGACCAACAATTTTTGTTAACTACAATGTACACAGTTGAACCATGTCTTAAAATTTTTATTGATAAAAAAAAAAAGTTTCGAAATTATCAAAAAAATTAGAAAGTCGGAGAGTATAAAAAATGTCCAGTTCAGACGATTTGCGGATATCGAGTTTAGTCGATTTGGTTTGTGAATATGTTCATTGATGTTAGAATATTAGATATATATTTTATATTAATTTAAAAACTTTAAATTAATATAGAAGATATTATAAGATATTATAATATTTTATTCTAACAATTAATGGATTTTGTTTTGGGCTTTGATATGGATCAATTGAGTTTTACCAATTATAAATATGTATATCTTCTCTTATTATTATAGTGTGACATTTTAGAGCTTTAGAGCAAAATGAAGAAATATGGGTTTAGAGAATTAAAAGTGAAATCTTAGAAAGACAATGGTTTTTGGGAAACCTTTGGAGTTATCTAAGGGGGTTGAAAAATACTTATAAAATCTCGAGTTTGAGTGATTCATACATTGAGAGTTGGAGAGATTGAGAAACACTTGGGTAGAAAATAAGAATTGGTTCTTGGACGTCTACAAGGTTTATTCTTGGGAACTCTGAAAGTGAAGACTATTTTCTTGTAACTCATTTGCAATATTTTGTAACAACTTTCTAAGTATAGTGAAGTGGAGAGCTACTTTTCCCCCAAACGTAGATCTTTTGATCGAACTGAATAAACATCTCTTTAACATTTTTCGCCTTATCTTCTTTTGATATATTTTCTGCTTATTGGTTTTATTGTTGTAAGTCATTTATTTTAGTTGCTACTGTTCTTTGTTCCCACATATCAAAGTGTAGATTAGAATTGAACTTTGTCATTATCACAATAAATGGCGTCAATTGTGGGGAAAATGACTATTGTTTACAAGTAAGCACCATGACAAAATGAGAGATTGCAAAATTTTCCGGAGACAACAATTTTAGGTTGTAGAAAGTGAAGATGCAAGCAATTTTAACTCAAGAGAAATGTATTGAAGCTTTCAAGGAAGAGGCATCGATGCCTACACACTTTAGTAAAGTAGAGAAGACCGAGATGGTGGATAAGGCCAGTAGTGTCATTATCTTATGCCTCAGAGATAAAGTTCTAAGAGAAATCATCAGAGAGCAAACTGCTGCTTCAATGTGGGCAAAACTTGAATCATTGTATATGACTAAGTAATTGGCTCATTGGTTGTGTCTGAAACAACAATTTTATTCATTCAGAATGGTGAAGAACAAATCTATATTGGAGTTGATTACATAATTTTACAAGATTATTGATGATCTTGAGAATATTGAGGTGAAGATTGATGACGAGGACAAGGATTTAATCTTGTAGATTTCATTACCCAAATTCTTTGAGAACTTTAAGAATTTCCTTATTTATGGTAAGGAAGGTGATCTTACCGGTTGATCAGGATCTGGAAGTGGGCTGAAGGATGACGTCTGTTTGACTGGAAAGTTGAGGAGAGGAGGGGAGAGGGAGCGTACCTGCAAGACACTCTGACGATCAAGTAAGAATGAGTGCAAAGAGATACAAGAAAGATATTAGGGTTTTAGGTATAGATATTGGATACCTGTCCCTCACAAGTGTGAGGTTTTATATAATGCCTCCGACGCTTGGCCATTGGTCCCTATTTTTAGGCCTAGATATGCGGGTCCGCAAAAATAGGTAACTTCCAGAACTTGGTCAAAACGGAAAGTCATGTTTGTAACTAGCCGTTGCTCCGAGCACGGAAGAGATTACGAGCAGAAGCGTTTATGAGCGTTTCTTGGATGCCTGCTCTACATGAGTCAAGCAGACTAAGAGATAACTATCCACAAGGGAAAAAGTGTGTCTCAGGCATCATAGATCTCACTGCTCAAGGGGTGTGGTCGACCAAGGATGCCTGACAGGAGGTCCAGATCTACTGGGCCATACAAAGGGTAGAAGCGAATTGGGTCAGTTCTAGTCATTGGGCTAATACAAAATAAGATTCCCCAAGTCGTTGCTTTTAGGCGTATGAGTGGTAACTTAGAGTCAGCCCGTGAGGGGTCGAGGATGCTTTAGGGTGCACTCAGGGAAACTGCGTCGAGGATCCCGGACGTGGTCCTTTTGTGTTCGACGCACGGGGAGCCGAATAGTTGATTGGAAATTGAGAGGTAACGTGCCACGCTTGCTTCGAGCCACGTGTTGTCATAAAGGTGTAATGATGGAAAGTTTAGGGAATATGGTATAACGGTGGCGACCCTTAAGTTTCTCTAGGCACATGCCCGCTCACGTGCTAGCAAAGTTTGTCTATAAAAAGGAGAGAGAAAACTTCATTTTCACTTTTTGCTTGCTCTTTTTCTGCTTGTTTTTTATTCTTTGCACGACATTGTCGTTCTCCACCGAAGATCTCGCCCTTTCCACCGTTCACCACCGTAATTTCTTCCTGTTCCCCTGCTAGTCTTCCCCAACCTGGTAAGTTTCCTATTTTTCCTCTGTTTTTGCCATAATGTTCCCTGTTTTAGGTTAGATTTTTTGTTGCGATTATAGAGATGCACGCGGTTAGGGGTAGATTAGCTTTAGATTGGATGAATCTCAGTGGTTTCATCGCATGAGAATATTGGCTCCACCATGGAGTTGTTTGGTAACTCTTGGTCGTATGGCTGATAATGGCGATTTGTGATGAATTTTCCAGTAAAATTGGACCATTTTATGGGCTTCTGTTTTGAACTTCCTGCGTTTCTGATGCTTCCCTAAGCGAGGTTCAAAACCATTTGTCGAGGAAGGAACTTTCCTCGCGTGAGATAGGGTTTATCCAGGTGGTCGGGCGCCTAATATGTTAGAGGGGATTGTCCTTGTTTTGCTTTCTGCCATTTTGAGTGAGGGCTCTAGTCAGTTTAATATAATTTTCAAACAATCGTGGTCCTTGTTTCCACATGTTCCCTTATTTGGATGGGGCCTCGAGCCTCCTTTATGTAATATTCTTGATAATTACGTCCCTTGCAACCGTCTTTTAAAATTTTCGAACATTGTGGGCGTTTGTTCAAACCTACATTGTTTAAGTGTTTTTAACTTTGCTTCGTGCATGATTTATTGATCATCTGTTGTGGAATGTTTGCATGTCTTTTATGTTCTTCTGCTTGAGACGTTTTATTTTGATTGAGTTTTAGGGGTTTGCTCGTTAGTTTTTT